GGCCGTAGAGGAAGGGCACCTTGCCGTCAGCACCAGCTGCCAGCTCGGTGGGTGCGTTGTAGGCCAGCTGCAGGAAAGGCAGCAGAGCAGCAAAGGAGGACCAGGGGAGTGCGCGGCGTGAGGGAGGGAAGGAGGGATAGATGGAGAGGAGGGCAGCGCCACCTTGGCCGTGCCGCACCCCCCGTGCTTGCTGCGATGCATCCGGTTGCTGCCTGATGCAGAGCACTCTCCAGTTGGTCTGGCGGCATCATTGCACCCCTTGTATCACTCACATGTGTGTACAGCTTCTCCACACCGCTGAAGCCAGTCGCCCGCTCGTGGTGCTCCTTGATCACTCGGGGCAGCTCCTCGAGCGGCACCACGGGGCACCACCGCCACTCTCCGCTGCGCTTGACGCAGCGGCACAGGATGTCCTGACCGCCAGCGCCCTTCAGCACCTGGAAGAACTGCAGCACCTTCTTGCTGTAGTTCTTGGCGCCGCCCTGCACTGCCGCCCCCCCTCCCGCACCCCGCCGCCGCCGGCCTGAGGGCGCCTGCTGGTCGCCCTGCTTGATCCGGATGATGCCCTCTACATCTGACTTAGTGAGAAACACATTCTTGGCGCCGTTTTGGCGCCGTTCTAAGGCATAAAGGATGACAGGTTGGTTCATAATTTTAAATTTGCGGCAGCTGCGGGGTGCGGGAGGGGAGAAATAGAAGCCTTAGAGACTCTGAAAGGCGAAGGAAAGGGAGGGATCGCGGGAGAGAGCGTGCCTGATGAGCCAGACGAATCGGGGGAGGTGCCACATCAGCGGGCAACACATGTCAGCTGCAATCTGCGGGCCTCCTGCATTGGACGTGCCAGGGATGAAATCCTTCGCAGATTCCACCTGCAGGGCCACACTCTTCTTACTGGGTGATCTTGATGTACACAAAGTGTTTGCAGCGGCTAGCTGGCTTCTCACCAGCTGCCGCACACGTTGCATTCGCTCCTCCGCATCGCCTTTGCCGCAGCCCCCTGTATGCACATGCTCCACATATCCAGTCTGCAGAGGAGCAAAACAGTGGCTAGTCTAATCACATGCCGCCATCTACATGCTGCAGTTCATACAGTAGCTTCAATGCCGTCGTGGCAGACACTGCGCATTCATTCATTCAGCACACAGCCCGGCCGCCTCTTGCTCGAGGGCGGCCCACTTTGGCCTGGGCAGCCCGGGCCGCCCTCCCCCCCGGGCGCATGTTCGGTGTTGGAGGGGTGTGCCCAGCGATAGGGGGCCCCTGAAGGCATGCGCCGAGGCCGGGAAGCGTGGTTCGGCGCTGCTGCACGCTTGGCGATTTGACCAGAACCACGTGCCGCCGAGTTGCGGCCGCAGTTTCCGGCCCACGGTCTACGGTCGCAGCCACGGGACTCGGCGGCACGGCGTTTGGGCCCAAGCTTGCTGCCGCCGCCGCCGTGCCCGGGGGGCAGCGCGGCGGCGGCGGCGGCACGCTGCGACGCCCCCGTGCTGCCGAGCTGCGGCCGTAGTTTCCTGCCAGAAGCCCACGGCCACAGCCACGGGACTCGGCGGCACGGGGTTTCGGTCCACGGCTTGCTGCCGCCGCCGTCGCAGGGGTGCTGCCTGCGGCGGCGGCGGCACGGCGTTTGGGTCCACGGCTTGCTGCCGCTGCCGCCGCCGCAGGGGTGCTGCCTGCCACGTGGCAACCCCCCGCGTTTCCTTGCCTCCCATCCACCGGACCCCGTCCTGCGCTTCACTTTGTTTAGGGAGGGGGCTGCTCACTGCTCATTGCTCATTGCTCATCGCACACTGCTCAACGCTCATTGCCCTATATCCCACCCAGCCGCAGGACTCCACTGCCGCCCGCGCCCCGCCCCATCTGGCCGCTTGCGCGCCCCATCCCCCCTCGATGGGGCCCGCCCACACCGGGGCCTCCCCCCTCCCGCCCACTGCTTTCTCAACGGCCCCGAGCCGGGGCTGCCCTCATTGCATACATAGTGCGCCTTTCCCTGCTTTTCTAGTGACCTAGCGTTCCGCACTGCCGTTTGGCCAGCCCATGCTCCCGTACCGTTGCGTTTCTCCCCAATGCGCCATGCCACTTTGCCAGTCATACACACGTTTCGATGCGTGCCCTGTCAGCTGCTTGCGTTGCATGTCGCCTTGCTCCACCCCTGTTTTATTGCTTTCTCTGCTTTCGCCCGGTTCCCGTCCCGTTTCGGCGGGGAGTCTATGTTGCAAGCTAGTTCTTGCTTTACCAGACTTTAAGCCCACACAAGCAACAAGCAAGCAGCGGCATAGCAGTGACAACCTCATTCACGATGGCCGCTAAGGTGTCCTCCAGACTGCTGTTGCTAGCTATGTCTCGCAGCCGCACAATTAGTTGCCTGAAATGCTTCACCGATTCTGCTGCCTTGGGCGTCAGTCCGAGCTGCTTGCCGGCTGGGAATGGGGGAAGTGACGAGCTGCTGCTGCCGCTGGCAGAGGCCATGCCAGGCTCTAGAGGGCTGCCAAAAAGGAGGGAAGGCAGTGTGGCGCCCATCCTCTTGGCATATTCAAGCAGCTTGTCCACTGATGTATCGCCAATGCCGCGCCTGCAGCAACAGAGCAGAGGTTAGTTTAGCTGCAGCTGCAGGGGTGTATGCAAGTGGGGCTGCCAGGGGCTTTACAGACGAGCAATACCTGGGTGTGTTGATGACACGCAGCAGCGCCAGCTCATCGCGCAGACCGACCACCAGCCTCAGGTATGCCATCACATCCTGTGCCAGCCCGGGCACATGACGTTTTGAAAGGCATTGGATCCCAGAGAGAGAGAGTGTGCCACGGAAGAGACTTGCCTGGATTTCGGTCCGCTTCCAATACGGCACGCCGCCCACCACAGTAAACGGAATGCTATGCTTGACCTGCAGGGCTCAGCCATGCATCATGAATGTGGCGTTGCGGCATAGACACGGCAACCAGTACTCTCCCCATTACCAGCTCCTCCTCAACCAATTTTGTGTATCGGCGCTGGCGGAACAAAATAGCAATTTCCTCCGCAGAGCACTGCTCACTGCAGCAGGGATAAGCGTGCTGTTCACGCAGTGCAAAGCACCCATACATGCATGGCTCAGCAGGCTGCTGATGAATCCACACAAGCGGCGGACACGACCTGTTTAGAAGGCTTATTATCTCGCTAACAATATGCTCGGCCTCCGCCTTCAAGTCGTGAGGGTGATGCACCTGCAGACCAATCGGCTTGCCGTCATGCAAGACTCGGGCAACACAGCAAAGCATGTCAACAGCAGAGTCGCACGATGATGTGGTTGCCAAGCGGGCGCTGTGCTTGCATACGCGCCCGGCCCCAGTCCTTGTTGGCACTGATCAGGGCAGATGCTGTTTGCACGATGCGCTCTGAAGAGCGGTAGTTGTTCTTCAGTATGAATGTCTGCAGGGTGGGACAGCCTGGTTCCCACTCGCAAACCGCAAAACGCCACTACAAGGCCCACACATACATACACACCTGGATGTCTGGGTAGTCGATTTTCAGCTGGCACGTCATGTTGTCCATGTCAGCGCCGCGCCACTCGTAGATGGACTGGTCTGGGTCGCCCACCACAAACAGATTGCCCTGCGGGCTCGGAAGAAAGTGTGCATGCTGAGCTGGCAACCGCAAGGCGGCGGCATAGCATAATGCACAGGTTACACAAACATGGCAAAGCCGCATGTGAACTGGTCACCTGGGGCAACGTCAGCAGCCGAACCAGCTCGTACTGCGGGGTGTTGGTGTCCTGGAACTCATCCACCAACATATGCCTGCAAAAAGCATACGTCTGCGACTGGGCACAGCACGCTTGCCAGCTGGCTGCTGGCCTCCACAAGCACGGATCAATTGGCACCCACCTGACATGGCTTGCTTGCTTGTGCTTGTGTGGGCTTAAAGTCTGGTAAAGCAAGAACTAGCTTGCAACATAGACTCCCCGCCGAAACGGGACGGGAACCGGGCGAAAGCAGAGAAAGCAATAAAACAGGGGTGGAGCAAGGCGACATGCAACGCAAGCAGCTGACAGGGCACGCATCGAAACGTGTGTATGACTGGCAAAGTGGCATGGCGCATTGGGGAGAAACGCAACGGTACGGGAGCATGGGCTGGCCAAACGGCAGTGCGGAACGCTAGGTCACTAGAAAAGCAGGGAAAGGCGCACTATGTATGCAATGAGGGCAGCCCCGGCTCGGGGCCGTTGAGAAAGCAGTGGGCGGGAGGGGGGAGGCCCCGGTGTGGGCGGGCCCCATCGAGGGGGGATGGGGCGTCGCTTTTCAGTCGATCCAGAAGCGGGCGGTCATGCTGCAGCAGGGCTACCGTCAGGCCCAGCAGGTCGTCCAAATCCACAGCATTGTTCTGCCTCAGCACTTCCTCGTACCTGCGGCAAGTGGCATGCATCACCCTGCTGATATCCTGCTCGCCTTGACCACAATTCGGTAGCTTACAGGCTTGCTTTCTCACCTTTCAAACCAGCACACCAGGTCCTCGACCCAACGTCGCTCCTCCTCTGAATTCTCGATGAAAAAAACTCGTTGCGCTCCGCGACGAAAAAGGTCTGCCCTAGCCTGCATGCGTTCCAGCATAACCCTAATCAACGTCGACGCAATGGCAGCGTGCTGCGCATCAGCGTGAGATCGAGCACCTTTGGCATGGCAGCGTGCCAGGTTGTCATGCTGCATTTGACAGTGGAGATGTTGTGCATCAGCTGACTTGCTGTGGCAGTCAGGTCTGCTGCCGTGAGGTCTGGCTGCTCTGCCTTGACCAGCTTGCGGAGCAAGTCAGTGGTCAAGTCCTGCAGTCAACGGCAGGCTGTGTTGGCATTCAGAGCTGCGCTACAAAACACTCCATCAATTTCAGGCCTGAGGTGCGCCTGTAACTTGCCTGATCAAAGATTGTGAAGCCCGCTGTTCTGCCAACGCCAGGCAGCTTGTCTATGTGGATTTGTAAAATTTTAAAGCACAGACTGCACACAAGAGTGGATGTCGAGTGAAGAGAATTGGTATGTGTGTGGAGTGGATTGCAAGGGACTGTGCCGAGCAGCAGCGATGGCAATGAGCAGTCACTTTACAGGATTAAAATAAAGAAATAATTGCATAAACTTGCCTGTGAAATGTGCATGCCCATACTCTACTTGCCTTCCAACCCAGCATGTTTGATAAGCGCTCCTGCAGCTCGCCCGCTGCCTGCACAACAAGTCGAGGCGGCCAGCCGCAGCCAGTGCCAGCCGTCCTTAGCGTTCAGGTTCTGGGCCTAACATCTGCCAGTACGCTGGCAACACCACGAAAATCCTTGGCTAGCTGCCCATGTATGGGGGGAGGGGGGCGGGCGCCAGCCTCCAGGACTAGCAGAAGAGCAACAGTGCAGGAAACGCACTTTGTTGGTAAAGGTGACGGCCAGCAACTTGGAGCTGCTAATGCCGTGTGTCTGGATCAGCTCTGCCACCCGTGCCACGAGCACTTTTGTCTGCAGGCGCACATCGCCATTCAAGAGCTCAGCCGCAAGCAGGCGCCTCACCGAGGTTGGACCTCCGCCACTCCCACCATCATGCGCCTGTCCTGCTCACCTTGCCACTGCCTGGGCCCGCCATGACGCGCACGGGACCCAACGGTGCAGTCACAGCTGCGCGCTGCTCCTCGTTGAGCTGATGCAGGTGAGCCATGCCGTGACTGGCACGCGCGAAACTTTCCTGCCCTGCCGCCAGCGGCGGCGGTGGCGGGTCTGTTGGACGTTGCCGGCCGCGCATGCCAGGTGAAGGTGATGCGTCGGAGCGCTTCCTTTCAGCCGCTGCCACCAGCCTGTGCGCCTGTGATCTGTGTCCGTGCAGGAGCTGGCCAGGCACCCACCGTTGGAGGCTGCCCACTCTCCACGCTGCTGCCCGCAGGCAAGTCGTGAGCATGAATGCTGCAGCGACAAGGTGCTGAGTGCTGAGGAGGCCGGGCCTCAGACCTCTATGTTGTCTCGGATCGGCTGAAGCAGCAGGAGCACTTCTGGGGAGCTGCACCGTGGAGATGAGAGACCTTAGAAGTCCTCCTGTGCTGGATCACAGGCCCCATGATGCCACCGCCACGCGGCGGAGTGAGCTGGCAGCGGAGTGACCTGGCGGCGGTACGGTACGTATTTCAAAACACCCGCAAGGGCCCGAGCGCTTTAGGGGTGCCTCCCCAAATTCTGGGTTAAGGTCGGTGGCACAGGTATGCAGGGGCCCTTGCAAACAGCCCTTTGCCTGTTGCCTGACTTAAGCAGATGAAGCCTCAGCCGCGTGGCTGGGCTGGCCAGGCTTGGCCTGCTTCTGCCTGCCTGCCCGCCTGCTTGCCTGCTTGCTGCCTGCCCACCGTTGCTCACACCCGATGCCTGGTGCTTGCACCGGGGCCCACTGCAGACTTGGCGGCGCATGTGAGCGACCTGCCATCTGGTAGGTGCGTCCGCACGGCCAGTTGTTCGACGTGAGCCACCTGCCTGGGTTCTCGTGCTCGCCCTGCCCGCCGCCAGCGCCAGCCGCTGGCATCCCCGGCCCCCGCGCTGACTCGTTACCTGCGTTTGCTGGCTTTCCGAAAGACAACCTCCTTGAGAGCAGCTGCAGCTGCTGAACACACCTGGAACGGCTATGCCTGCTGGATCTGCCACCACCGCCATGTGGTGCCATTGGTGCCTGGGATAGGCGTTCCCTGGGAGGTCCGGGGAGCGGCAGCGGGCGCAGGCTAGGCTACCTGCCACATGCATTTGCCAACTGCGCCAAGCTTGGCGGCTGTTGGTGGGGTCCCATGTTCCCACAGACTGCGTGCATTTGTTCTAGCTCTCATTTTGGCTGTCTTTCCATTGAACGCATCAACGCTGCACCCGCTTTCATCCAACGCCGGGCCCCTTCTTCCGCCCGCCGGCGGCGCCCAATCACCTGCACCGCCCGCCCGCCTGGACACCTCGGTTGCAGCTTGGAATGTTTCCGGCATGAACAGGCCTGCCTCTGTGAACCCGCATGCGACTCCCAAACCAAGCGCAGCGCCTGGCAGCACGCAAACCAAATTTCAAAGCCGCACAGCGGCGGTCAACCTGCCGGTGGTAGCGCCTAACTGCAACCGTTCGACCGTGTCAGACCAGCACCCTCTCCTACACCGGGCCCCCATCGATCGCGAACAGGGCACAGATGGTGATCGATTGAGCGGTTAGCTGGCAAGCGATGTCCCACTGAACCACCGCCGCTGCGCCGCCGCTGAGTGGCGGTAGGTGGGTTTGGGACCTACCACCCAGCCTCCCCACCGCCCCTCCCCCCTTCACATATAACACAGCTCATCGCCTGACACCGTTTGCATGAGCTCAGCCCTGCAGCGAAGCTGGAGGTGGCCGAAAGCCATCCCACCTGCTCAGTGCATGCCACCCCCTGACCAGCCGCAACTCTGCCTGGTTAAACTGTGTGATCAGTTTTGATAGTGCCGCGTGGGCCATGGCTGGACTGACCAGTGTGGCTGGCACAGGACCAAAACCTGCAGTACGACCTGCCTGCTTCCGTCACACTGTGCGACCATGAAGCGCGTGCGCTCATAAACCGCCGCTTGCGCCAACTTTGTTCATTTCAATTCACAATCGCAAATTTCCCGCTGCCCAGCCCCAGCTCCCCTTTGCTACTGCTGTGCCTCAGCACCCGCCACCGGTGACATGATGACCTCCTCCCTCCTGGCCTCAGTGGCCGTGTGCTTGCTGGCACTCGTGCAATCGGCCTCTGCCGACGTCAAGAACTACAGGAGTGGCTTGAAGAGGGGCTACGGCACGGCCTACTCTGGTGAGGGCGGGCCGAGTCAAACCATGGCATGTCTCCCACCACACGACAGACGGCAGCGGGTGTTGGGGGCTGCTGGAGGCGCTGACTGCGGCCCGCGGATTGCTGCCCACCACCTCTGCTGCCATCCATCCGGCGTGCTGCAATCAGCAGCTGGGGTCAATGGTGGATGACATCCCCATAGTTGCAGCCACCCGCTTTGGTCGGCCACAGTCAGCGCTGCGCCAGCGGTTGGTTTCAATCCCCCTGCCCCATGTCCTGCCTCCTGCCTGCAGACAAGGGGCAGAAGGACAAGACGGGTTTCAACAGCTGCCAGTTTGGCAAGCTTTCTGAGAGGTGGGAGACCTACTACGCGGCAATCCCTTCCCACATGTATGACAAGGAATCGCACTGCGGGCTGTGCATCCGCGTGCGCGGCACCGAGAAGGGCGCCCCCGGCCAGTGGGTCAAGGTGAGAGGGGAGCGGAGAGGGACGGAGGGCCCGATGGGAGGCCGCCTTGTTGCAGCAGGGCGTGGCAACCGCCGTCCCCTCCACTCCAACCGCCCACACTCCTTGGGCGTGCCCCTGCCTGCCCCACCCTGCAGCTCATGATCGTGGATGAGTGCGCATCCTGCAAGGTGCGCACCCCGCCTGCTGCCGTGCACCCACCCTGCTTTGCCAAGCACAGCCGCGAGCTGCTGGCACCCCAGCCGCGCTCCTCCTTCCACCTCGGTGTCATCCACATCCCCTCCCCTGATCTCCTGCCCCCTAGTTCTGCTTTGCTGCAGGGCGACTTTGATGTTGACATGAGCATCCCGGGCCTGGAGGCCAGCACCGGCTTTGAGTGGGACCGCAAGCTGATTGAGTGTGAGCAGCCTGCTGCTGCAGGCACAGCCACCTGCCACCCCCGCATGCACGCCTGCCCCAATCCAGCTCCCCCACCCCGGCCCTCCCCGGGCCGCTCGCTTCTCACCTCCACCTACCCTTGTCCATGCAGGGGACTTTACCAGCTGCGATGGCTCGGTCACACAGGACGACGACGATGATGAGGGTGGGTGGGCTGCTCAAGTGGAGATGGTGGTAGGACTCACATTACAGCAATCATCTTCTTCACTGCCAGCCAACCGCGCTTGGCTTGTGTTTTGCAGAGGGCAGCGGTGGCAAGCGGCCCCGCAAGGATGATGATGAGGATGATGAGGATGATGAGGATAACGATGGTGAGTCAGTGGCGGAAAGAGGTGGCCATGACCCGCTGCATGGAGCTTGGGTCTCACCGCTAATCTTGAACTGGGAGCCTGCTGTGCCAGAGTGCATTCATTCATTCATTCATTCAGCACACAGCCCGGCCGCCTCTTGCTCGAGGGCGGCCCACTTTGGCCTGGGCCGCCCGGGCCGCCCTCCCCCCCGGGCGCATGTTCGGTGTTGGAGGGGTGTGCCCAGCGATAGGGGGCCCCTGAAGGCATGCGCCGAGGCCGGGAAGCGTGGTTCGGCGCTGCTGCACGCTTGGCGATTTGACCAGAACCACGTGCCGCCGAGCTGCGGCCGCAGTTTCCGGCCCACGGTCTACGGTCGCAGCCACGGGACTCGGCGGCACGGCGTTTGGGCCCAAGCTTGCTGCCGCCGCCGCCGTGCCCGGGGGGCAGCGCGGCGGCGGCGGCACGCTGCGACGCCCCCGTGCTGCCGAGCTGCGGCCGTAGTTTCCTGCCAGAAGCCCACGGCCACAGCCACGGGACTCGGCGGCACGGAGTTTCGGTCCACGGCTTGCTGCCGCCGCCGTCGCAGGGGTGCTGCCTGCGGCGGCGGCGGCACGGCGTTTGGGTCCACGGCTTGCTGCCGCTGCCGCCGCCGCAGGGGTGCTGCCTGCGGCGGCGGCGGTAGCGCACGTGGCAACCCCCCGCGTTTCCTTGCCTCCCATCCACCGGACCCCGTCCTGCGCTTCACTTTGTTTAGGGAGGGGCTGCTCACTGCTCATTGCTCATTGCTCATCGCACACTGCTCAACGCTCATTGCCCTATATCCCACCCAGCCGCAGGACTCCACTGCCGCCCGCGCCCCGCCCCATCTGGCCGCTTGCGCGCCCCATCCCCCCTCGATGGGGCCCGCCCACACCGGGGCCTCCCCCCTCCCGCCCACTGCTTTCTCAACGGCCCCGAGCCGGGGCTGCCCTCATTGCATACATAGTGCGCCTTTCCCTGCTTTTCTAGTGACCTAGCGTTCCGCACTGCCGTTTGGCCAGCCCATGCTCCCGTACCGTTGCGTTTCTCCCCAATGCGCCATGCCACTTTGCCAGTCATACACACGTTTCGATGCGTGCCCTGTCAGCTGCTTGCGTTGCATGTCGCCTTGCTCCACCCCTGTTTTATTGCTTTCTCTGCTTTCGCCCGGTTCCCGTCCCGTTTCGGCGGGGAGTCTATGTTGCAAGCTAGTTCTTGCTTTACCAGACTTTAAGCCCACACAAGCAACTTCCCTCCCCTCTTTCTTCCCACAGATGAGGATGAGGAGGATGAGGATGAGGATGAGGACGAGGATGACAACGGTGGGTAGCCGGGCGCAAGACACACAACTGCTAAGCCTGGCGCTCGCCCTCTGCTGCGACGCTGACCCGTTGTGCTTCCAACTGCTTTCCACCTGCAGATGATGATGACGACAAGCGCCGTCGCCTGCTGCAGCAGCACCGCCGCATGCTGCTGGGCTGAGTGTGAGAGTACATGTTGCGACATGCGG